ACGGTTACTAAACAAACAGTCGTAAGTCGAGGACTGCCTGTATGCTGTCAGGTGGAAAGACAAGGTCCACACGTGAAGGTCCAATTAAACTGATTGTTTGCTGAAAACCTATGTGCAGGAATCTTCTCAATTTACAATTAGCACCCGCTTAGAGTTAGCTAAGTACTATGGAATTCAAGAAGAGTCGGATGTAGTTTGCTTGTGGCGACAGAGGGTTTCTAGGCTGATCCCTCTTTTAACTCCACCTCCAGGTTCTGCCAGCCCTTCATGTGCAAAGTTACCGCTGAGATTAAAGCTTTCACATTCCCACACTTTGTTTAAAGCAGGGGTAGGCAACCTTGGCTCTTTTATGACTCGTGGACTTCAACTCCCAGAATTCCTGAGCCAGCGTGGGGGAACTATGGCCCCTNAAGGGACCATCTGCTCAACCTCAGCAGCTTCAAGAAGGGTGGACTTCAACTCCCAGAATTCCCCAGAGAGGCAGAGACACTGCAACGATCGCTGGTTGCTGCCATCCAGTTCAGAGTCTCATACAGTGCCCTGTTGCTGAGCTTCGTATTATTATTATTATTATTATTATTATTATTATTATTATTATTATTATTATTATTATTATTATTATTATCATCATCATCATCATCATCATTATTATTATTATCATTATATTATTATTATTATTATTATTATTATTATTATTATTATCATTATCATTATTATCATTATTATTATTATTATTGATCATCACAGTCAGCCAGATGTTCAGACTGGATTTGGCATTCTGTCTACCTATCGAGTCCTTACCCAGGACCTGGGATAGGCAGATGTGGATGTTTGACGGTATTACAGATCTCGTCGCAGGATGGAAGCAGTTCCTAGTAAGGCCGCCTTTTCCAATTGACTGATGGCGAATTTGTCAATGCCGATGATGGTGTTCCAGTGGTGCTCCAGTTGTTTTGGGATTGCACCCAAGGCGCCTATTATTATTGGTACTACCTTTGCTTGCTTTTGCCACAGTCTTTCTATTATTATTATTATTATTATTATTATTATTATTATTATTATTATTATTATTATTATTATGGATCATTGCACAGTCAACCAGATGTTCAGACTGGATTTGGCATTTTTGTCTACCTATCGAATCCTTACCCAGGACCTGGGATAGGCAGATGTGGATGTTTGATGGTATTACAGATATCATTGCAGGATGGAAGCAGTTCCTAGTAAGGCCGCCTTTTGCAATAATAATAATAATAATAATAATAATAATAATAATAATAATAATAATAATAATAATAATAATAATAATAATAATAATAATAATAATAACAACAACAACAACAACAAAACAACAACATAATGATCATCATCATCATCATCATCATCATCATCATCATCATCATTATTATTATTATTATTATTATTATTATTATTATTATTATTTTATCCCCTTGCAAGGCAGAGAGATTGCTCAAACAAGCCTCTTTTCCTGAGCTGATATTCTCCCCAGGTAACAGGTCTCTTAAAAAAAAAATGCCACGGGCGATTTAACAAGCTCAGCTCTGTGACCTTAATTAGTTGATCAGATCTCTCCAGTCAGCTCCCAACTCCTGCCTGAAACTGACCAGGCCTTAATCAGTTTCTCGCCAAAAGCTTTTGTTGTCAGGCTGCAGTCAGTTTTGATGTAAATGCACAGACATATTGGGTGGAAAATGAAGTATTTTAATATGACTGTTTATCACTGCGGTGTTTGTGAGTTGGTGGCTAACCCAGGTAGTCACTAAACGAGGAGTGGCTGTAAGGAGGAGTTTCCGGTGAGCAGATGCATCATTGCAGAAAAAGAAGGGAGGAATGGAAGACCAGATCCCGCCCTATCACTTACTTGAAAGCTTTGTAAAGAGGTCTAAACCAGCAGACGTAGGAGCAGGGTGTAAAGAGAATAAGCCAAAGGATTGCCAGTCCAAAGTTAACAGCTCCACCGCCGCCAATCAGCCACGCGAGGCAACCGATCAGATTGACCGCCAAGGTGATGCTATTCACTGCAGACACAGTTATAGAAAGAGAGAGAGAGAGAAACACACACAGAGAGAGAGAGAAACAGAGAGAGAAACAAACAGAGAAACAAACAGAGAAAGAGAGAGAAACAGAAAGAGAAAGAGAGAGAGAAAGAGAAAGAAAGAGAGAGAAAGAGAGAGAGATACAGAGAGAAAAACACAGAGAGAGATACAGAGAGAGAAACACAGAGAGAGAGAGATACAGAGAGAGAAACAGAAAGAGAGAGAGAGAAACAGAAAGAGAGAGAGAGAAACAGAAAGAGAAAGAAAGAGAAACAGAGAGATACAGAGAGAAAAACACAGAGAGATACAGAGAGAGAAAACAGAGAGAGAGAGATACAGAGAGAGAGAGAGAAACAGAAAGAGAGAGAAACAGAAAGAGAAAGAGAAAGAAAGAGAGAAACAGAGAGAGAGAAACAGAGAGAAAAACACAGAGAGAGATACAGAGAGAGAGAAACAGAAAGAGAGGGAGAAACAGAAAGAGAGAGAAACAGAAAGAGAGAGAGAGAAACAGAAAGAGAAAGAGAAAGAGAGAGAAAGAGAAAGAGATACAGAGAGAAAAACAGATACAGAGAGAGAGAGAGAGAAACAGAGAGAGAGAGAGAGAGAGAGAGAGAGTGCAGAGGCAAATCATACAGCGGGAGACAAGCAGAGCTCACCAAAGATCCTAGATGTACTGCTGTTCAGAAACTAGATGAAGGATCTTTCCCCATTTCTAAGCTGTATAGGGAGTCCTCGACTTACGACAACGACGGGGGGGCAGAATTTCCATTGCTAAGCAAAGCGGTTGTGAAGTGAGTCGCCCTTGATTGTACAGGTGGTCCTCAACTTACAACCACAACGGAGCCCAGAATTTATGTTGCTAACTGAGACAATTGTTAAGTGAATTCTGCCCCATTTTACGACCTTTCTTATCGCAGTTGTTAAGTGAATCACTGTAGCTAAGTTAATAACACAGTCGTTAAGCGAATCCTGCTTCCCCTGTTGACTTTACTGGTCAGAAGGTTGCAAAAGGGGATCACCTGACCCTGGGACACTGCCACCGTCGTAAATACGAGCCAGTGGCCAAGCGTCTGAATTTGGACGACGTGAGCCTGGGGAATGCTTCAATGGTCGTTAAGTGTGACAAACGGTCGTGTTATTTTTTTTCAGTGCCGGCGTAGCTTTGAACAGTCACTAAACAAAATGTTGTCAGTTGAGGACTACCTGTACACACCTGACCGTCCCTGATTTCACAACCTTTTTCGTGGTGGCCCTTATGCAGACACGGTGGTCGTAAAGTGAACATGGTGGTCATTAAGTGAATCCATGGTTCACTATGGGGCCTTTTTTGCTGGAAAGTTTATCCCAGGAAAAATAATGTATCTAAGTTTTAGTTAGAGCAATATATTCTATCTTTCTTTCTTTTTTCCTACCGCTTTTGTCTGGTTAATTGGTTGCCCCTCCCACCCAGAGACCCTTAACTCACACATCCAGAGGTAGTAAAGACGTTTGACCGTGGTTCTGTGAAGGGGTGGGATTTCCTCCTCGAAATCCTGGTAAAAACATGGCTTCAGGGGGATGAATCGGGGAAGAGGGGGGAAATTGTTCATTCTTTCTGCAAGAAAAAGCAATAAATCATTTTTAGGGGGGGGCTGCAGTTCTCTCTTTCCAAACTGAAAAGCAACAGTCAATTCCGAGCAGCTATCTAAGATAAGGGGGGGGGAAACCCCATTTTATTTAGCTATATAGGGAGTCCTCAAGTTACAACCGCAACTGAGCTCAAAATTTCTGTCGCTAAGCGAGACGTCGAATTTTGTCCCGTTTCACGACCTTCCTTGCTACACTTGTTAAGTGAATCGCTGCAGTTATTAAGTTAGTGACACGGTTGTTAAGTGAATAGGGCTTCCCACATTGACTTTGCTGGTCAGAAAGTCGCAAAAGGGGACAACGTGACACACACCCTGGGACATTGCGACTGTCATAAATATGAGTTGGTTGCCAACCGTCTGAATTTGGATCACGTGACCGCAGGGAGTCTGCAACAGTCTTAAGTCTGAAAAAACGGTCGTAAGTCCCTCTTTCCAGTGCTGTTGTGACTTTGAACGGTTACTAAACGAACAGTCGTAAGTCGAGGACTGCCTGTATGCTGTCAGGTGGAAAGACAAGGTCCACACGTGAAGGCCCAATTAAACTGATTGTTTGCTGAAAACCTATGTGCAGGAATCTTCTCAATTTACAATTAGCACCCGCTTAGAGTTAGCTAAGGGTCTATGGAATTCAAGAAGAGTCGGATGTAGTTTGCTTGTGGCGACGGAGGGTTTCTAGGCTGATCCCTCTTTTAACTCCACCTCCAGGTTCTGCCAGCCCTTCATGTGCAAAGTTACCGCTGAGATTAAAGCTTTCACATTCCCACACTTTGTTTAAA